AATAAACCAATAAAACTGCTTAAAAACAACAAGAGACGACGCATGATGGATTGATATTTAAACCCATCCATAGTTAATTTAAAAATTATTAGAAACTTTTTTTAGTAAAATAAATAGATTGGTATGGGACGTCATCTGCTTTTCTTCTGTCATCGTCTGTCGAAATCTTACCTGAGAAAAAAAAACAGAGTATATGAAGGACAGTTAAATATTTATAAAAGTTTAGAAGGCTGCTTTGTATTCTTTCCTACTGATAAAGGTCTTTTAGCGCATCTTCAAAAGCGGCATGGAGTTATGATATCATTCTACTCGATTTTCTTCTATTTCAGCATTATATATACAATATTTCATAAACAAGGATTACAGGTAAATGTAGCATGTACCTATAATACAGTATCTTTGGTACAGTAACAATACAAATTCTATGATGAATTTTATATTCATAGATAAAAGACTTATAATATTATTTATATTTTAAGATTTTTAGATTTATCTTGACGAATATCAAAATTCCAGTGATGTGAATTATGTGTAAAATACAGGAAAGATACCTACTTAATGGAGATTGTGAAGTAATAAGGTATTATCATTGTGATCGGATCATAATATTATCCTTGTATCATTATCATTCATATACATTAAAAACATAAATTCATAATCATTTAGGTATTGATATTCTTATTTGATGGTTTTAAAAAGGTTTTAAACCTATGAATATTATTTGAATATTATATCATGTCATTACACCCAAGCGGTTTATTTTTTTATTTATTTGCAGTCAACATATTTATTTTATTATTTCTGATTTATGTATTAAATTATTCTACAATGACAGATAGTCCTATATTCAATTACAAATAAAAAAATTCATAAAAATAACTTTGATAAAATCTAGTAAAGAGGTAACAGTAAATAACTATTTACGCAATCCACTTTAATTTATACAGTCTTATAGCAGATATCAATGCAACAAAGGTAATAATATTTAACATTTAATATATTTTTTTTTAATGTGGTTATAATTTTTGTATCAATTTTTCTAAAACATCAAGTTACTGTATTAGCAAAATGTAGGCACATATTTTTTATGAAAAAATGGTGATAGCCCATATAACACAGCACAATCCTATAGATATCTTGAGGATATCCACCAAGGATATAGGGTCGATTCGCCAGCAGTCGGCCTTTTTTTGGGATCTTTAACTTTGAATATAAATAACAAAACACTACAAGAAGATCGCTCATTCGTTCTTTTATTAACGTTTTGTGCATGAACTTATTTTTACGTGAGAGAAATAAAAAAACCCTAAAACTGAACGTATTTTCACTATTTTTTACTTTTCTAAAAAATAGCACATATATTAAATTTACATTATGATGCAAAAAAATCAAAATGTTTTAACAAGATATTTTTTATTATATTTTTTGTTTTAATATTACAATATTATTATGCTTTGGTGTGGAAAGCAAATGTTAAGATATCTTAATATTTGCCATAACGTTTTAATACAAAATATGATTTATAAATCACAGATGTATTAATTAAATATAATATTATATATTTTGTAGATGCTTATTGGACATGAACAATAATTAAGAAGCACGGCAATAAAGGTAGAAAAAAGTGGTAGAGAAGCAGCAGTAGTGTTGAGAATATCGATAGCCCCAAAATTAGGTTGATCCTATAATAATGGATATTAAGGAAAGAATTTGTCTGTTTATTTTTTTTAATCATGTATAATTTAAATTTTGAAAACGGAATGTACTGTGTCCTAGGCGAAGTTTAGGGAGTTTCACCTTATTACATAAATTACTTTTTCTTTTAAATGTAGCTAACTATAGTGTTTTATTTGTGTCCAATTATATTGATAAAGAAATTAGAGCTGTCAAAATCTATAATAGGATATGTTGCCATGAAATAAAAACTCCTCTCTCTCAGAAAAAAATTATTTTGGCATTTGGTCAATATATTAAAATTTTAACATTTTTATTCTATCTTGTGCGTTCCATTCCATGTGCAACATTTTTTCAAAACAATGTTTTTTCATAGTTGGCATGAAAAAAGGTAACTGATGATTTTTATATATAAGTGAGTTTCATCGCTCATCATTTCCAAGCCAACTCTGACTCTGTTTTTTATCATACGTACTTAATTCGCAAGAATTTGATGATTAAATATCTTATTTTTTTAAATTAATAATATCTTACATTCAAGTAGTGATGGGAATACCTGTTCCACATGAGTCGCGTTACAATAGCGACCGTTCCAGAAAAAATACCGCGACAAAATCCGCGATTTTGTAACCGAGTTCCGACTTCCAAAGTGTTGCGGTCCTCGCTAAAAATTTATCTAACTTATCTATATTTTGTAGCTTAATGTAACTTTTATCCGCCACTCATTTTCCAAATATCGAGTTTATAATTATTGTGTATAGCCAATCTATCTCATTTTTAGAAAACGATGATATTCCTTGTTATTTTCCATCAATTTTCGTTTAAATAAAATCAACGGCTCATATTTATGTGTATTGCAATATAATATATTTAATGTTAAAATGAAGAACAAAGTCCAAACCACTGTCAAAAAAAAAAATGTTTATTAGCCTAACTTTGGCCTAACCTAACCTTAAAAATAGATATAAACAATAAAACTTATCAGTGGCGCCTACCCCTAAGATTTTATTACATTACATTATTTACTATTAATGTTGCCAATACATAAAAATACTGTTAATACCAAAGACATTATAAAGATAGACCGAACATCTCATTCATAAATACTCGTTGGTAGTGTATCAAACATTCCAATGTGTCAAACAAGGACAGAAGAGACAGAGAAGTCTAAAATTTCCGACCCCGGCAACTAGGCGCATTTGGATTGTTCTACTGGCCAGTGGCGTATCGTTTTTGGAACGAATTTAATTAGTAAAGTAAAAGTAAAGTAATTAGTAAAATTTTTTACTCCATATTAATATACTACATTAACACTTTTCGTCAGATGAGTTTTGTTATAAGGTCTAATATAATAATACAATTAATATCCCACATATACTTATGTTGAAACGTTAGTAGTTTTCGAAAATCGCTCCAACGTGGATTTTCAATTTAAACTTTCAGTTACTTCTATATAAACTTTCAGTTACTTTTGAATATTTACAGGGTGACTCAGGCTTCCGAAACAGTTCTATATTAGGTTTGTTTGTTGTATTCTTTTCTTTCATTTTTTTCAGAATATGGAGGCATTTAGGCACATTTTTAGACATTTGACAAAGTTGTAGATTTGCCATTAAATTTCCATTCCAAAAATACCTAGGGTTGCCACTTGTCCTTTTTGAAAAGGACAGTCCTTTTTAGAATAACTTGTTCTTTTGACTTTTTGACTTAAAAAGTCATTTTTGTTTACGTATTTTCCTGAGAAAATTACCTACAGTAAACAGAAATATTCTTTTCGCCCAAATTTAATTAGGAATGTTATAAAACTTAACTTATAAATAAATTTTTCTTGTTTAGAATAGGCAACATTAATTAGAACTTCCCGTTTAATCTCAAATGATAGTTTAGGTTTTAGTTTTACCTTTTTTTTATCTTAAAAAGAACTTTTCAAAATTAGTACCTAATTAGTAACGATTTAGTTAGTTCGCAATCGATAGCTTTCTGTGAAGTACTGAGTAATAGTTGTTTAATCTTGTATTATTAATAACTTCCTATACCTAAAATCAATATTTAATGAGAAAATTGTGTTTTTTTTTGAAAATATAGAACAAGATTTGACTCTCTCTCTTTCGGTCTTCTTCTTGTATTATGATGGCTCTGATACGAGGCAATTGCCTTTTAGTCTCGCAATAGAAGGCATTTATCATTAAAAGTATAAAATCTGTGTGCTACAGTATGGGATTTCTGTCTGCTTCATCAGATAATCAAATTTTAGTTAAATGTCCTAATCTTCATGAACTGTATTAAGCATATGTGTTGCGGTTTGAATCACCCTGTATGTTGACAAAAATATTTTGAAAATGTGCGTTACAATGGCCCCCATCTTATGTAAAAAATTGAAATAAAAATCACAAACCAAAAACGTAATAGGTAAAAAGCTTTTTTGGAGGCCTGGGTCGCTCTCTATATAGGTATGTATAAAACTAGTAGCCTAAGAATTATTTACAGTTCGTCCCATTCTAAAAAAAGTTAAACACACCGTACAAATAACTCTAGGAAGATGTATTTGTACGGTGGTAAAAAATTGTCTAAACAAGGCCGAAGGGGCAGATATAATAAAGCAATAAAATGTAAAAAAGGTCGGGTAAACACCTTTGTTTATTTGTTGAGCAAAATTCCTTTAGAATATCGTATATAATGACCAAAATAGGACGCAATTTTAAGAAAAAAATGTCACTTTCTGGCTTATAATAAAGTTTCAAATGTAACGTTTATATTCAAATTTGTTATGATCTACAACACTTAGGTAGTAATTGAGACGAATTATAATTTAATTACCGGCTACTACGTTCTTGTTTTAATAGATCAAATTTCATCAAATATAATTGGAAATTATTTTAATTGTGAGAGGCTCCCTTGTGGAACGCCTATGTACGGCGATTACGGCGCGGCGGGAACAATACCTACCTGTGAAAAGACAAATTCGGGTAATTTGAGCTTATTTGTCCACACATTTGACACTGTCGTACCATATTGAAAATTCGCAGATTCAAAAGTACATTAAACAAAAACAAAAACTATTGAAAAACACTAAAAAGTTAACTTCGGACTTGATTCCGACTTCAAACACACCGTAAGCTAAACCAAAGGCTAAACGTAGTACGCTATAACGGACCATGGGCCGTCGCGAGGGGTGGTGGGACGGACAGCTCATTTCATTCTGGAAGACTAGCAGCGACGTTGCCAATAGTTCTAGACGTTTCAGCACATTAAACAGTAAACATGTCCTTTAATTACAGTTGAGGGTTGGAACCTTTGGTGTTACACAGCAAAATATAAACACTAAATCACCACAATACACCAAAACACTTTTACTTTTACACTGGACGCGCGTTTCGCTAACCATGTTAGCATCATCAGCAGATGATTATAAACTAAAGTACAATCTACAAGTTGAGCGTTTGTATACACGCTCAGTGGGCAACGAGTGGGCGTGGCAAAATCTAGCCAACCGAGTCAGAGCCAACTGAGCGTAACAGTTAGATTTCCGCCACTAGAGTAGTAGGAACAAAGAACTTGAAGGAACTGGACCGTTGACTCTGTTCATACTATCTTTACATTTATTAATTCTGATGCTTTCATATGCATCTAATCTCATCAGTTGGTGTATTGTGGTGATTTAGTGTTTATATTTTGCTGTCCTTTAATAGTAACGCATATATCCTCTGGTTAATAACATATTATTACGCATGCTTCTTTAAAAATAAACTATTAATTTAATTAAGAAATTGAGATTTATTGATGCGGTGAAGGTTTTAAATTCACCTTTTCTGCAAATCAAACTAAGTAGATAGGCGCAAATTTGATATGTGGCAATGTCGCCTTCTCTATCTCAGTTGGTTTTTACAGTACGTAGTCAACCTCCGAATGTTTGATCGGGTTAAAATGCATAATGTGATATCTGTTCTTCCTAAATCTATGGTTATCGTTCAGTTACGTATTGCTGTTTGCCCAATAATTTCGTTCTTCTCTTTTATAGTCCCCGATAACATCTTTTGTTTATTGTTTTCTCTGGGCCAAGGTGATAGCGGCGAGGTATGTTGGAGTACCTCTGCAGCGGTTTTTTGGTAATAACGCTTGCGAATTGTGAGCTACTGTAACCAGGCTGCAAATGGTGCCTAGTGCCTCGTTTGCTTCCCCTTTTTCTTTTTCAGGATCGCTAGTTCATCGTTGCTGATTCCTCCCGTATTGATGAAACCGGAAGGCAGAAACACTAAGTGTCTACGGGTAGTCGTATTTTAGCCCTGTATCATGGCTAATCTTACTGTAGGTTTGCCCAATAATTTCGTTCTTCTCTTTTATTATAGTCCCCACGATAACATCTTTTGTTTATTGTTTTCTCTGGGCCAAGGTGATAGCGGCGAGGTATGTTGAACTACCTCCGCAGCGGTTTTTTGGTAGTAACGCTTGCGAATTGTGAGCTACTGCTTAACCAGGCTGCAAATGGTGCCTAGTGCCTCGTTTGCTTCCCCTTTTCTTTTTGCAGGATCGCTAGTTCATCGTTGCTGATTCCTCCCGTATTGATGAAGCCGGAAGGCAGAAACACTAAGTGTCTACGGGTAGTCGTATTTTAGCCCTGTATCATGGCTAATCTTACTGTAGGTTTGCCCAATAATTTCGTTCTTCTCTTTTATTATAGTCCCCACGATAACATCTTTTGTTTATTGTTTTCTCTGGGCCAAGGTGATAGCGGCGAGGTATGTTGAACTACCTCCGCAGCGGTTTTTTGGTAGTAACGCTTCAAGTTGTGAGCTACTGCTTAACCAGGCTGCAAATTGTGCCTAGTGCCTCGTTTGCTTCCCCTTTTCTTTTTGCAGGATCGCTAGTTCATCGTTGCTGATTCCTCCCGTATTGATGAAGCCGGAAGGCAGAAACACTAAGTGTCTACGGGTAGTCGTATTTT